AATTTTGGCACAAATTTGCCCGCTTTTCAGCCCACTTTCGGCGCAAAATCGGCTCGTTATCGGAGCAAATCGATCCATATTCGCCCTGCTTCGGTGCAAATGCAACGGAGTTTTTTTATCCCATAGTTTATTAATAGAAATCAAATAGTTCAACAAATAGTTCAATACAAATTATATAGTTCAATAAATAAAAACTCATATTTCATCACACGTCGAGCTAGGCGTTGCCTTTGAGCCTCCATAGGTGCTCCACCAGATCCTGATGCAGTTGTTGATGCACCTGTGGGTCTCGGATCTCCTGACGCGTATTGAGGAAGGCAGTGCAGGTTGTCGGTAACTGGTGATCAACTTGGGCAAGAGGACCCTGCCTGTAATATGGTTCAGTGTCAAACACTGGCTCTTCCTGCTCGCTCTCAATGATCATGTTGTGCAAGATGACACAACAAGTCATGGTCTCCCACATTTGATCTTTCGACCATGTCTAAGCGGGGTACCGGATAACAACAATCAAGATTGGAGCACACCAAATGCCCGCTCGACATCTTTCCTGCAAGCCTCCTGAACCTTCGTAAAATAAGAGTTCTTGCCTCCTGGCACAGGGTTTGATATAGTCTTCACAAATGTTGACCATCTCGGATAGATGCCATCTGCTAGGTAGTATCCCTTATTGTAGTGCCGCCCATTGACCTTGAAGTTCACCGGAGGAGAATGACCTTCAACAAACTTGGCAAAGACAAGGGAGCATTGTAGTACGTTGATGTCATTGTGAGTTCCTGGCATACCAAAGAAGGAGTGCCAAATTCAGAGGTCTTGTGCCTCAAGTACCACACTGCAACCACCTTTAGCGCCTTTGTACATCCCCTGCCAAGCAAATGGACAGTTTTTCCATTTCCAATGCATGCAGTCGATGCTTTCAAGCATCCTAGGAAATCCTCTTGCTGCATTCTGTGCTAGGTCCGAGCAGTGTCTTCAACATTGGGTGATCGCAAGTATTGCGGTCCAAACACTGCCACCACTGCCCTGCAGAACTTGTAGAAACACTCAATGATCGTGGACTCGGCCATGCGCCCATAGTCGTCGAGTGAATCACCGGGAGCTCCGTATGCAAGCATCCTCATAGCTGTTGTGCACTTCTGGATTGAGGTGAATCCAAGTGTACCGGTGCAATCCTTCTTACACTCGAAGTAGCTGTCACACTCCCGGATGGAATTCACAATCCTGAGAAAAAGCTTTCGGCTCATCCGATAACGATGCCGAAATACTTTGTCGCCGTGTAGTGGAGCGTCGGCGAAGTAGTCAGAGTAGAGCATGCAATAGCATTCTAGTCGATGTCGGTTCTTTGCTTTCAGCCGCCCCGGCGCCGAGCCACCTCGCCGCGGCTTTGCGTTGCTCGCGAGCAGGCCGACCATGGCGGCGAGGACCATGAGATGCTCTTCGTCCTGGACGTCGACATCGGCTTCCTCCTCCAGCAGCGCCGCGAGCGCCTCCTCGTTGTCCAAGTCCATCACTGAGCAGACAAATCGCCGAACACCTGGCGGGCGTGAGGGCGCACAACCGCTGGAATCCCGTCCTGCACGGCCGGAGCGCCTGAAAAATCACCCAGGAAATGGTGGAGAGGTCGCCGCGGCGAAACCCTCTCTCTTTTTCGGCGGGATTGACCTATATAGCGGTGGTGGGCGGTGGGCGGCGCCGGGACCGGCAAGGCGGCGGGAGGGCGCGCGAGGGGGGGGGGGGTCGTTTGTCTTGACTTTTCGCCTGGCAGTGTGGCCCAAACGTGGTTTTCCCTTCCGCCGGAGCCCCCGAACACCTCCCAATGCGCTGGGTTCGGCCTAGGATCGCCGGGCCCAAAAACAGGCCGAGCTGGCGATTTTTGGCATCTTAAGGGCACGACTGGGGTTTTTTTTCGCCACCGGCGCGGAAAAGCCGCCCTGTGAAGGGCGCGACGGGAGATGCTCTTATCCTAAAAAAACATCAGAAACCACAACCGGCAACCTCCCATAAGATTACACAGACACCCTAAAAAAAAGAAAGAAAATACACCAGAAACCACATTTTGCTTCTTTTTTTTGGCCCACGGCAGCTTTTCCCCACACTCTTTCACTTTCCCCACCTGAAGCTGCAGTAGCTCCCTTCCTTCCTTCTCCACCTCGCCGCTGTCGCCGTCGCCGACGCCGAGCAGGGCAGGTTGGGGCGAAAGGGAAGCAGCTACCGCCTCACGCCGCCTCTTCCATCCTTGCTGAGCTGCTCAGCACGAGGCCCTAATTGTGCTTCTGCAATGGGGATTTGATTTAATGGTGCTCTGGTCTGGCGTGCTACCTACAATTAGGAAGGGCTTCTGCAAAGGTATGCCTGCCATTCCCCCTCCCCTCTCTTCTCTTCTGTTCCCCTGTTTGCATTGGAGATTAATTACATCTTGCTTGGATCTAGTAGAGCGCCTTACAACAGTCACATAGAGATTTCTGCAAGGCATATAGAGCGCCTTACATCCAGATCTGGGACATAGAGATTTGGTTTGCTCTCTGCTATGCTCCAAACGTGCAGGCATCTTCTTTACTGTCTCTAGCAGGTACGCATTTCCCTGCTACACTAGCAATTTCTGCAAGCCTGTCCGTCTGTTTGTCTGTCTCAAGCAAACTAATTTGTTTTCATGCTCTAGTTCTGAATAACACCGTCTAGTCTAGTCTAGTTTCCCTGCTACCAATGGCAATGGGCGACGAAACTGTGCTGGAGCGTATACTCAACGGAGACGAGGAACCCAAGGATCTGCCATTACCGCTCTTACAAAGCATCACCAATCATTTCTCTCCAGACAGAGAAATTGGTCATGGTGGATTTGGAGTGGTTTACAAGGTACACTTCACCATTCACAACAACAACATACATAAACATCTTGTTTTGTTCTTAAAGGTATCCTTTAATATCAACAAGTTGCATCTATTGATAAAATTACAGCAGGAAACTCACCTCTTGTTTTGGTATTGTTTGCTGACCAACAGGGTGAACTCCAAAATGGGACTATTGTTGCTGTTAAGAGGATTGAAGTCAACCAAATCACAATTGATGATGTGTCATTTCGCCGTGAGTTTAATAGCCTCATCAACATCAACCATCCAAATGTAGTCCGGTTTCTTGGCTTCTGTTCTAATACACATCATATACCGAGAAAAGAGGGTGGAGAAATTAGCCTTGTCAACGTAAGAGAAAGATTGCTCTGTTTTGAGTACATCAGCAATGGAAGTCTTGATAAGCATATTACTGGTAAGATCTTGTTGCAATTCATGCAGCTCTTCTTTCTTACTCTACTTCTTTACCTTACTGCCTGGATCAACCTTAGTGACAGACTTGCATCTAAAATGTCGTTCCGTCATTAATATTGCTCCGAATGAAGTTCAACATAACTTCATACTTTTTTGTGTCTTTATTATTCTACAGATGAATTAAGGGGGCTGGAATGGGAACCACGTTATGACATAATCTCTGGAATTTGCAAGGGTCTGTTTTACCTTCACGAGGAAAAAAATATTGTTCATATGGATCTTAAACCGCCAAATATATTACTTGATGATCATATGGTTCCAAAAATTACTGATTTTGGGTTGTCGAGATCAAATGAAATGTCGCATACTACAGGTCAACGTTTTGGAACACCGTAAGCTATGAGGAACCATTATCTAAGGTTTTCTATCATTACAGCCCCAAATTTACTTTGTGTGGTAATGCATCACACTATTGTATTTTGTTGCAGAGGATATGTCGCTCCAGAATACAATGAAGACGGCAAAACTTCATTCAAGTGTGACATATACAGTTTGGGTGTCATAATCACAGAATTGGTAACGGGGCGTAGGAGCGTCCCTCACAAAAATAATGCAAGGGTGATATCTCTCACTTTTTAGAACAGCAACAATTAATGTTTTGCATCCATCTTTTGTTCGTTCTTTAATATGCCTAGTATAGTACTGAATGGCATATATCTACTTTGAACAACATTTTCTTCATAGTGGCTGAATGGATTTGTTCACGGTGCTGAGGCGAACACACACTATGGATCTAACGTCTGGCCTTGAACTAGAAAATGGTACTGTAAGATTCTGGGATTATCATAAATAATTAACATTTGTTAAATGTAGGTAGTTCGAAGGTGGAGACACAGGTGGAAGAAGCCACCAACATTACTACAATACCAGCAAGTAACCAGATGCATTGAAATAGCGGAACGGTGCAGGCAACAAGAACCGGAAGCTAGACCTTCTATAGGTGATATAATCAGCATTCTGAGTGGATCTGAAAGTACGGATGGGCACACTGGCCAGGTAAGCTATAGCTAGTTTAAGATGCTTTGTAATCAAAACTGTGGAAATGGATGCATCATTTGAAGTCGAAAGAGATAGGTGTTACTGAGATCAAACAGCTAATGAAGTGTGAAACAGTCAAATCTAAGGTTGTGTTAATTTGGTTCCAGATTCAAGTACATATGCCATGCAAAAAGAAAAAACATAGGTTAGTTCATCTTAACCCTGCTAGGTTAGAATAATCCCAAATTTGTGTTTGACAACTATCATAGTAGCCTAAATCATAAATATATCATTTCTGAAAGGAAAAAAAGTGTACTTTCCAATAACACATCTCTCTTTTCTCGCAGGGAAGCACTTATATTGACGATGACATGCTTGGTATTGAGCCACTCGAGCTTAAGTTTGATGAGGAGATGTCATGGTCAGTTAAGCTAACCAATAAGACAAATGCTTGTTTTGCCTTCAGCATTGAAAGACCAAGCAAGCATTACACCATACAGCCAGACGAAGGTATTGTGACACCAGGATGTAGTGAGTGTCTTGTTCAGATATCAGTGACATCACCGCAAGTTGCACAGAATGCTGACAAGCTCATCGTGCGGAGCACAGAAGTGAATGAGGGTCTTACAGTCGAAGATATCACTAAAGATATATTCCATGAAGTGGCCGGTAAAGTGATTGATGAGGTGGATTTGACGCTTGTATATGAGCCCGTTAAGGCAGCCTCCCCCACGCGCAAGGTGAGCTTCATGAAGTAATCCTGACATACTGAAATGAATTTGTTCTTTAATCCTACTGCTTCATTGTTCAACATGCAAGGCCATCAATTCTGGCAGCTATGAAGACAGCGCGCGAGGACAACTGGATCGCCCAGAGAACTTTTCACGCAGTCAACCTGCAAACATGATGCAGCGCAAGGTCGGTCAGCGACGGCCTGTCCTCCAGCTCGGCCACAACTCGGAGCAGATCAGGGACAAGCTACTGCAAGCGCAAGGCCTGCTGCACAGCGCCCGGGGGAGCCACAACCCTGGCCTGCAGGGCTTGCTGGAGAAGCTGAGCAGGGACGCCGACCAGGCAGAGGACTTGCTGGATGAGGTCCGCTACTTCCAGATCCATGACAGACTCCACGGCACCAGCTACGCCACCACCCAAGATGGTAGTGATGATGATGCTGCTGTTGCCGGTGCACCACTCCGCGTCACCAACTCTGCTAGTGCTGATGGTGATATGCTGCATTTCGACATAGTGTCCATGTCCAGCAAAATCAAGTCCCTGTTACAGGGCATGGAGTCCCACTGTGATTCGGTCTCCAATTTGCTCGGCATCGGCAGTATCCCAAGCAACAGCACAGCAGTCGTCGTACATCGGCCTCAGACTGCTTCCATGATTATACAAGATAAATTGTATGGCAGGACATGCATTTTTGAGGAAACTGTCAATCGTATCACTGATACTGGTGCCACACAGACTGTTTCTGTTCTTCCTATAGTTGGTCCAGGGGGTATTGGAAAGACAACTTTCACCCAGCACCTGTATAATGATGCAAGGACTAAAAATCACTTTGATGTCCAGGTCTGGGTATGCGTATCCACTGATTTTGATGTTCTTAAGCTCACCAGGGAGATACTCGTCTGCATACTTGCAACTGAAGGAGGAAGCAGCGGTGTTACAAATGAAACAACCAATTTAAACCAGCTTCAGAAATCCATATCAGAACGTCTCAAGTCCAAGAGGTTTCTAATTGTCTTGGATGATATATGGAAATGTGACGGTGTGGATCAGTGGAGAACCCTGTTAGCTCCGTTCACAAAGGGGGAAACCAAAGGAAGCATGCTACTTGTCACAACTCGATTCCCAAAGCTAGCACGAATGATGGAAACAGTTGATTCACTACAACTCGCAGGTTTGGAGCCTAGTGACTTCTTCACATTCTTTGAAGCATGTATATTTGGTGATCACAACCCTGAGCATTACGAATATGAGTTAGCTGGTATTGCACGAAAAATAGCAAACAAGCTAAAGGGTTCCCCGCTAGCAGCCAAAACAGTTGGTAGGCTATTACACAAGGAACTTTCTCAGAAACATTGGAATGGAGTTCTTGGAAAGCATCAGTGGCTAAAGCAGCAAAATAATGATGATATCATGCCATCTTTAAAAATTAGCTACGATTACCTCCCTTTTGATCTGAAGAAATGCTTTTCCTATTGTGGTCTTTTCCCTGAAGATCATGAGTTTACTTCTTCAGAAATTAATCAGTTCTGGGTTGCAATTGGCATCATAGACTCTAATCACCGAGCCGATAGGAATTACTTGGAAGAATTAGTGGACAATGGTTTTCTCATGAAGGAATTTGATTGCTATGTAATGCATGATTTAATGCATGAGCTATCTCAGAGTGTTTCTGCACAAGAATGCCTCAATATAAGTGGCTTAGATTTCAGAGCTGATGCCATTCCACAATCTGTTCGGCACTTATCTATCAACATAGAAGACATATATGATGCAAATTTTGAGCAAGAAATGTGTAAACTAAGGGAGAAGATAGACATTGCAAATCTTCGGACTTTGATGTTTTTTAGAGAATATGGAGATGAAGGAATCGCCAAGATTTTGAAAGACAGCTTCAAGGAAATAAATAGTCTGCGTGTCCTATTTATAGTGGTGAAGTCTGCACAATCTTTTCCATATAGGTTTTCAAAACTTATACACCTCCAGTACCTCAAAATTAGGTCAGCTTACTACGGTGAAAGTTTACCTAGTACACTATCAAGATTTTATCACTTGAAATTCTTGGACCTAGATTATTGGCGTGGTCGTTCTGATTTGCCTGAAGACTTTTGCCACCTTGAGAATTTACATGATTTCCATGGTAGAAATGAATTCCACTCCAACATTCGCAATGTCGGAAAGATGAAGCATCTGCAGGAGCTAAAAGAATTCCATGTCAGGAAAAGGAGCATGGGATTTGAACTGACAGAACTTGGGGCATTGCCAGAGCTTGAAGGAGGACTGATTATACGTGGTCTTGAACACGTGGCAACCAAGGAGGAAGCTACTGCAGCCAAACTGATATTGAAAAGGAATCTGAAGGAGCTGGAATTACTTTGGGACAGAGACCTTGATGGACCAACTGCAGATGATGATATTCTTGATGCTCTTCAACCACACTCTAATCTTAGAGTACTTGCAATTGTAAATCATGGTGGTACCGTTGGTCCTAGTTGGTTGTGTTTTGGCATCTGGTTAACAAGTTTAGAGACTCTCGCTCTAGAAGGCGTATCTTGGAGGATACTCCCACCTTTTGGGAAGCTACCAAATCTGAAGGGACTCTATTTGAAGAAAGTCTGTGGAATGGATCAGTTTGGGCCTCGTTGTGGAGGCGCTCCAGGCAAATGTTTTATGCGCTTGAAGACGGCTGGGTTTTGTGAGATGCCAGATCTTGCTGAATGGGATGTGGAACATAATTGCCATTCCTTTCCAAGTCTTGAAGAAATCAAATGCATCGGTTGTCCCAATCTCCGTGTGATGCCCTTCTCAGAGGCATCTTGCACCAATTTGCGCAAACTTTATGTTTCCAGGTGCCCCAAGATGTCTCTGCCCTCCATGCCTCACACCTCCACACTGACAAATTTGGATGTTCAAGGAGATATGTTAGAATCGTTGTTGTCTTATGATGGAAAGAAATTGGTTGTTAGAGGTTATGGCGGTGCTTTGGCCTCCCACAATCTGGATGAAGTAGAAGATATGGCTATTGCAGATGCATCACGCATATCATTTACAGACATCAAAAAGCTTAAACCCCTAACAAAAGTAACCGTCAGAAGATGCGACGGTTTCTTCCCTGAAGAGCTGGATGGAAGTATTGTCTTGCATTCAGTTAAGAGTCTCATATTAGATGTATCTCATCTTACCAACAAATCATCATCATCAAAAGTGTTAAACTGTTTCCCAACTCTTTCTGTGTTGGAGGTAGACGGTTACCTTTCAGTTGACTTTCGATTATGTGACTATGAGGAACGTGTAATGCAGTTGCCATCATCCAGCTCACTGCAGGAACTTGCCTTCAAACACTGTAAGGGCCTAGTTCTTGTGCCCGTGGAGAATGGAGGAGGAATTCAGGAGGACAAGTCATTGCTCCAATCATTAACAATATTCAATTGTGGTCGATTTTTCTGTCGGTGGCCCATGGGAAAGGGAGAATCAGAGACCATTTGCCCTTTCCCTGCTTCCCTGAGGGAACTTTATGTTTACCAAGAGCCAAGCATCAAGTCAATGGCTCTGCTCTCAAACCTCACGTCTCTCACGCGTCTAAGGATACATGGCTGCAGTAATTTAACAGTGGCCGGATTCAATCCTCTCATCGCAGTCAACCTCATAGAGCTGCAAGTGTATCACTGTAACACCTCAGCAGCAGATCTGCTCTCAGAGGTGGCCTCTCAGAGGGCCAAATTATTGCCTGCGGGTTACATCTCTAGATTGGAGAAACTCGGTGTGGATGACATGTGTGGATTGCTTGTTGCTCCTATTTGCAACCTCCTCGCCCCGGCCCTCCACACACTTGAATTCCAGTTTGGTGATGAGAGGACGGAAAGCTTCACGGAGGAGCAAGAGAAAGCGCTGCAGCTCCTCACCTCCCTCCAAAATCTAACATTTTCCGATTGCAAGGGTCTGCAGTCCCTTCCTCAAGGGTTACATCGCCTTTCTTCTCTCAAGGAGTTATGTGTCCGTGGGTGTCCAAATATCCGATCGATGCCCAAGGAGGGCCTCCCGGTTTCACTGAGAAAACTAAGGATGGATTGTCACAGCGCTGAGATAGAGGAGCAAATTGAGAAAATAAAAAGAACCAACCCAAATTTATCCGTCAAAGGATAACTACACCCAAGGTGACACTTGTCGCCTCCCTATTTTTCTTGTTTTTCTATTTCTGAAGCAAGGTTTATTCACCATATCTCTGCTTCATCTTAACTTGTCAAATCTTACAGACTAGCAGGTCCCACTCCACTCCACCACTGTTGCAATCAATCTTTTATGCACACATTAATCGGCAGATGCAACCGACTCTTCATTCTGCATGCAACGCTAGTTGTTAACTCTTCATTCTGCTACATGATCGATATTTCTCTGCAACTCAACTCAATCTGCCGGTTAGTGTTGACATATAATGTGTTGCCTAGTCTCTTCCATCAAATCGGTCCTTTGGTTGCATTGGCTAGAGCATACACTTCTACAGTTAGTACCTCCAGAACCAAATTTCTGATCCTTTAATTTATGACTGCATTCATTGCATAGTGCAAAGCAACCACTTTGGCTTGCTTATTTATCTTTCTCCTGCTTGCTTTCTCTAGATTATAATATGTGCTTAATTTATGACTACATTCACAGCCCAACGCATGCTTCTTTTCATCCACTTCTTTTTGTACCCTTTTCTGCTAGTAGACTTGCGATTGATACACCGTTGATGTAACTTTTCATAATATACATGAGTGCATTTTCTTTGTCAGGCTTCTGTTCCCTATGAAATAAAAAAGGGCGTGCTAGACATCACTCACTCACTCACTCATTTCAAGAAGAAGACTTGATTCGTAGCTGCAAGAAGTGATCGAGACTTGAATCATGGAATTATTATCAGGCTTGTGCTCCTTTTTCGCATGAAGCAGCAGGACTGAACAGAAGAGGCCAATTTAACTGTTGGCATCAGTAGCAGCGAGGAAGAGGTATTTAACTGCCTGCTGTTACTCAAAACGAATAACTATTTTCTTTCTTTTCTTACCATGAATGAATGAATGAATCAAGTGCCTTTATTTCCTCTTTCTTGAATCCTTTCCTTTGGCAGGACGATGCTGCTGCTTTGTAAAAAAGCAGCTCTGTCCTGTCTTGTCTTGGTGGTGCAGAATGGTATGGATGTAACCTAGTATATTATCGTGAAATGAAATTGAATTCTACAAGAGAGAAGAGAATGCTTTCCAATTTGTTTGATTCTTGAAATATGGCCTGATACTGAATTATTCCTCTAGGACCGAAGCAGTGAGGATTAGCAACCTATGCTGGGGCAGAGTAGTGAAACTATTGAACCCAGGCAGCTACGTACAATCTTGCAGGGAGATTGCATGCATGCATACAGGTTTAGGTTTGATTGGCTGGCATTGATCCTTGACTCCATGTAAGGTAATGACTGATTGGGTGTTTAAGCTACCTTGTTCTCTGTTCAGATTCTGATCCAAGTTCATTTATTGTACTTATTGGATCCTGCAGTCCCAGTACAAACAAACAACAAACAAACAGAAGTGAACAGGGCAATTGTCTGTGTTGATATGCTGAAAGGTGAGTACCTACTTGACACTTTGTTCTCACTTTTGGGGTTTCCCTCAAAATTAATGATTGAGTGTTCAAGCAATTGTCTGTCTTGATATGCTGAACTGCTCGAATCTGTATGTTTGTCGCCAGAATGTTGTTGCTTTCTAAGGGTAAAGTCCACATTCCTCAAGCACCAGCTGATATAATTGTCTTGCAGAATATCGACCTAAAAAATGGCTCACAGTCGCAGTGGGATGTCCTTCCTTCCTTCCTTCCTTCCTTTAAAGAAGAGAAGTGGGCTTTAATTTGTGGATGCAGCAGCAGCAGCAGCCAACAGAGCAGAGCAGAGCATTCCAAGAAGGGACTAGTTATCCAAAGGGTGGCAAGGTGCGACGTGGTTGTTTTTTTTAGGTACGGAAGAATTGTGTTTTTTTTTTCAGTGTTCCGATCATGATTTTGTTCCGTGGCCACGGACTAACTGATGGATGATGCCAATGCTATTCGGTGTAACTGTTGTTAGCGCAATGCTAGGCTTAATGTCTACGATTTGGCAGCTTCACATGTGAATCTGAATCTGAGACCTGGAGTCGTGGATGAGGTCGTTCGCTAGATACATGCAAGTAATCAGTTGAGTGGACGTGCATGCACAACCAAAGCCAAAAGAGGAAAAACTGCAAATGCAGCAAAAAAAAAAAGAAAAAACAGAGGAGTACACTGCTCTGCTCATTGTGGAACTCCAGAGGAGTCCAATCCTAGATACAAGTCGTTATTTTTGGTTAAATAATGCATTGTGGATTGATAATGGCATGCCACGCCTCTGTTGTTTGAGATGCGATGCGAATTGGACTTTCCACCTCTCCGGCGTGTGCTAATCTATATTTACAGCTCCAGTTTTGCTATACTAATTAACTATGCTAATTTTGTATTTTTTTCTTCTAAACATACATTTCAAAATGTTCTAACTGTATATGCATTTTGGAAAAACTGTTAAAATATTACATAACCTGGTTGGAATAAATAATGCAAAATTTTGTCGATGTGAGTTTTAAACAAGCGTTCTCGTATTTTACTAAATGTTCATTTAATCTGGAAAAATAGTGTTTACATTTCTCTCTCTTTAAATGTTCATGTAATTTTACAAAATGTTCACGTATATTTCAAAAATATACGTGATTTTTTTAGGGTAAAAATATACGTGAATTGGGCTTTGTTTTTCCTGGGAGTTGTGCTTTATTCATTGCAGTTGCAGGGCAATAGTCGACCTGAACCCAAAGAAAAGACGGCAACTCTTATATGACGCATCGCACGCGCGGGTCTATAAAGCGACACTCAGGTGCTTCTCGTTTTTTTCCTGTGCGTACACTAGCAAATCGGTGACACTGTATCAACTCAGCGGTACTGTGGTGACTTGAAGCACTGTAGTTCGTGTTTTTTGCAGTCATTTAAATTTATTTTATATTAAAAACACGGACGTTTTTTCAATTGTGAAAAAATAAAACGTGATTTAAAAAAAATAGTGAACAGTTTTTAAAGCACAAACATATTTGAAACTCCCTATCATTTTTAAAAAAATCCTGATATTTAAAAAAATCACAATTCTTGTTAAAAATAGGAATATGGTCTTAATATCCAATTATTTTTTGTAACTCCTAAATTATTGAAAATTCTCAAACATTTGTTGAAATTACCAGCAGGTCTCAACAAATGTTTGAGAATTTTTCCATGCTGAAATGGCTTGTACTCCCACAGTTTTCCCAAATATTAAGAATGAAACTTAACAGGTTTTACATCGTTTGTTATTACAGCCCCCCCACAGTTTGTGTTGTTAAGCTTTGCCAAGCAAAAGGCCACCTCTCAAGACAAAAAACTTCATGCAAATGCAGCAACAGAGAAATACGTAGCTCTGTTTGTTCATTTGTACGAGGCTGTGATCTTCAGTTTTGATCTACTGTCAGGCCATAAGCTCTTCCATGTCTTTGTGAAAATTCAATCAAACCACCACTAGTGTACTCTTCCATCTCTGATGATGATTCATTTTCCGTATATACATACAGCGCACTTCTGTCCGGACGTACTATATCTGAATTGCTTGAGCCTTATGTTGTATCCCGTTAGGTGGTACTCCCTACATAGTAGCTCCTTTAGTCCGAGATAAATCCGTGTATGTGTATTCGAGAGGCCTGCGCAAGGCGGAGCTGAAGGCCAAGTTCGTGGAGCTGCACGAGATAACCGAGGCCAAGTCGGCAGCTTTCTTGGTCCCACTGAACAATCTAGGTAATCAACACCAGTTCAGTGAACGCACTGCTCTACAGTTGAGCTTCTTCATCTTTCAGTACACAGTGAACGCCCTACTTTTACACATCAACAACTCAAATCAGACTAGATAACAGTACTCCAAGATAACTCTGACATGTGTCATTTGTGAATCCATTCTGACTATTTGGAGTATAAAGATCACTGAATTTTGACATAATACCTTTGCCCCTGCTCCTGCTACCCTTGGTCTTGATCCAACCATTGCAAACTAAGATAAAGTACCCTGATCCTGCTCCTTCACATGTTTCTACTCTTTATGCTTTTCAGTGTTTATAAAAAGGGGCCCTTAGTACCAATCCAACACATGTTCATGTTCATGTTCATCACACACACATACACACAGCAATGTTCATGCTCTGTATTTTTAGTACATCACACACAGAACTTTGCACTTAGCACCATTTCTGCAAAATCTGCCATGGTAGCTAAACAAGAAATGGCTGCCATGGCACAGTAATTCAGTTGGTGACAAATTTAGTTAGCAGTATAAATTCTGAAGTTTAACTGAAGATTCAGACTATAAACAGTATGAACATAATTTATGTTGAGAATGCTAAAACAGACAACTGTTTTTATACTGCTAACACTCCTGCAGGCTAAAAACAACATTTATAAGAAATTATTCAGTTAGGAATATTCAGTTTGTCTACTTGGAGTACATTCTACTCACACTCAGTTTTTCACTACATTGCTTCTCTGAATTCAGTTAGGACCATTAACCCTATCTGTCATCCTGTGGTTAATTGATTAATCAAGCACACAGTTTGCTGGGTTTTTTTTTTGGATTTGTACTGTGATAGCTCTGAAACTAGGTAGGTTCACTGAGTTTTTCTGGGGTTACACTGAAATTCAGTCTTCACCTGTGTAGTTTTTTTATTTGACAACTTAAAACTTCATTTTTCATATGATAGAATGATTTACAAGAAGGTGAGAAACAAAGTCTGGAAACTAGCTGCAGCAATAAAATCACTTATATACTGGATAATTGTATTTCTAAATAGTTTCCAAATTTGATAACACCGGAGGAGTACTGAATGCATCAATTGTTTGAAATTGGATGATCTGCACCACCACAATTAAACATTTAACATTTGAAATTGGATGATCTACACAGGTGCTGGTCGAACTGGCCGGCTCGGCAACCACGGCCGCGGCTACCGTGAGTCGCTGGAGCCGGGGAAGGAGGGAGGAGCACTAGGGAAAATCACCTTGGGCGATGTCCCGGAGGTACCGCCGAATTTGAGTGCGGACCGCGACGTACA